TATTATTATTGTTGTACTAGTTCACTTATACATTTATGCGTCATATAACTCATTACAACGTCCGTCGATACGCGACGACGATATCTGTTTATTGTCCGTCCTACGCTCGGCCGTCACGGATTTAATGGTTTTATCAACACCCTAGAATACTATGTATGATGCGCGTCATATATTATACACATCGTCTGCACATCGTCTCGGCCCGGTGTTTATCTACGTTATTATTATTATTATTATTATGTACGCTCTGTACACACACACACACACACACACACACACACACCCGCGTGTGTTATAAAATAGTATATTTACGTATATCATACGCATGATACACGAGCACGCGCCTCCAACAATAACACAATATAATAATACATATTATTATCCCGGGATGGTCCCTTATCATCATCGCGCTGCAGCATCGGCGCGCACGCACGCAACACCTGTTTGAGTCCGTCAACCACCCGGCGGCGGCCAACCCCCGGAAAAAAACCCACCCCGCAGCGCGCATGCACACCCCTGTGTGAAAGACGCGAGTCGTTTCCCTAAAATAGCTTGCCGAGTTTATAACGCAATGTTTTGAGCTGTCCCGAGACGAGGGGTACACGGTTTTTACATTTCCATATTTATAGGTACCTCGTCATATTGCAGTGACGATTGAGACGACGACGACGACGACGACGACGAATGACGGACGGGCGTGTGACGGAAGCGAGATTTACATTATTTTACGCACTTTATACATATATACATATTATATATATATATATGTGTGTGTGTGTTTGTGTGTGTGTGTGTGTGTGTGTGTGTGTGTGTGTGTGTGTATGGATTGTAGGTCTAAATACCTGTTGGCTGTTCAAAATCGTCACAAATGATACGAGATTAACCCCACTGCTGCCGATGCTCCTGCCACTGCGATTATAGACGGCGTACAAGGATTAAACAAATATAAAAGCGAACACGAGATAAAGAAGGTTAAACAAATATACCTTATATATTATTATACCATCAAATATTCGACAAACTGTATTTGATTTAATATATTATTATTGTGTCTCGAGGATGGGCATTTTCCGTCTGGTCTGTGGTGTTTACACACAATACGTCAACGAACTCATTGCGCACCCATCCATACTAAGTAACCACCCAGTCTGTAGTCCTAGGCGAGACAACAAAAGCTCACTTAATGTAGGAAGTGATATTTATTGTGTCGTTTTTATTTGTTCGATGTAATTAATTAGAAAAAAAGTTATAATACTTTTAAAAATCTGATATTTTTACGTCTGCCAAACTTAAATAACTTTCGATATATTGGTCTTCTATTGAAAAAATAAAAACGCCACGACACAGTTGAAATTCTGTTCTAATAGTGGTGAGAGATTGGTTTCTCAGTTATGAATGCAGCTTTCTCGGTTCTTTACCGAACGACACATTTTGTGTTATGTTTTAAATTAATATTTTAAATGTCATAAAATTCTTAATATAATAATATTATAATACGATCGCGGTATATATAAAGAGATGTTTTTCTGAACGGATTTATTCCCTCATAATACCTATTTCGAACGACATGGCGTCGCCATAACCGGTACCCGTAAATCGTAATAAATAACACTATTATTGAGACATTATACGTTCGAAACTCATCGCATATACATAAAACGCATTATTTTTTAATCGTTTAATTGGATTTTGACGATTATAATAATATTATGTTTGAACGAGCGGTGTCGGTGTGTATATTGATATAGGCTTAAAAACCAGTGTACAGATTCTTTTTTTTCCCCTAAAATCATTTATTATATTTACCTACTTCACTTGTGACTTATTTCGCTCTTTTATAACAGAACCGTTGCGGTGTAGTCGCGCTTACACGTAATTTATTACTCGCGTGCATTTATCAGTGAAACAAATTCTATTTCAATTATTATATTAAAGTGTGCCTGCACATATTTTGGATAATAAATATTTAATCGTTTTGAATTTAATTATTATTCAACTATTAACGATAAGTGTGTGTTTTGTTCGTACGCGTCTTATCGAAAACATATTACCTACGTTAACATTTTGGACGAACGAATATAACTTTTTTACGACCGCGAACGGATATATATATAGTTATACACGCCGGAGTCTTGAATTATTACAATATTGTTGTGATACACTTTGTCATAGTCTGTGACTGCGAGTGGCTTATAATATACATGTATGTATGAATAATGGTTGTTGCCCTGCCGACACTTGAGGACATATAGGTACTCAAAGGTCAGCCTAACGATGGAATCGTATAATTTTACACGCTCGTCAACAACGGACCCATCCGCGGTGCAGTTTATCGTATTCGTATATTATGTATTTCAGATTAAAAAAATATTCATTCGAAATATACACGACCATTAAACCATCAAATCAAGTGACTACACTCTTATAATATATTATGGGTTATAACTCAATGATACGCGGTCTTGATGTTTGGTTGCCGCGGTCATTGAGTTAATTATTATTGTTCATAATAATATACATAATAAAATATATTATATAAGTCGCACTATATACGACCACAAACACCATGTGATAAGTCAGCGTGCGGCGTGTGTGTGTGTGAGATTAGCATGTGAACGGAGCTCCGATCACAATTATTATTTTCACAGTATAATAATTTAATTTCGAGATTCAGTGAGCTGTCATCATATTGAACTCGTAAAAACCGTATCGTGTGACCGATTCACATTATAAACGCCGAAATTTATTGTCTGAATGCGAGTCGTTACGAACGTGCATACATGGTTTTAGGGAACGAGAAACACATATTATATTATAATAAATTATACGCATGGTGTCGATGGAAGTCAAACGGTACAAAGAGGACGTTTCGTGATGTCCGTCCGTCGAGATGGATTTGTTATTTTTCCCTCCGAACCGGATATACTATGATGTATGCTTGAAGACATCATGACGTGATGATGTGGTCGCAAAACGTCTCTTTCTCGCTGTGGCATATTACACACACACTATACCTATATAATACGGTGTTGTATGTAGACGGACTGCCGGAGGATGAAAAGATTACGTCCGGGGCACGTTTGCGAATCGTAACTCGAGACGATTTTATTTGGTTTATACGTGTGATACAGACTGAAGTATGGGATTTCGAGAGCATCGACGAGATGTGTCTACGACCGAGGTTTGAATATTTAAATGCGGTTTTATCCGACATCAATAATTATTGCCCATAATGCGAGTCGCACGAACCATAATGCTGTACTTACACAAAAGAATAAGTTGCGATTATAATTATTGTTGTTGTCTGTATAAATTCATATTCAGGTTTACAAATCGCACAGGTTAGTAGTGTGTGTAAAAATTCGAACTAAATAAATGTTCATAAAACCGTACGATACTGTATTATACTGAATTATTAATAAGATTAGTACCCACACGTCTTATCTATTATATGGATTGATGGTTCGGAATTAATGCGTCCGAGCTATATGCATGTATATAAATAATATTTTAGGTACTAATATCTTATTGTGGAAAAACATATAATATACTGCGGAGGTTGTCATGTTATCACGACGATAAATTTATGAATCTTCTTTATATGTGCATGTAGGTACCTATATATTAATGTGATAAATATGAGCTATGATCAACGTGGGGAGATCGAGGAGATGGTGTTTAAATGTGTTACAATTTATGGCGGCGGCCACTACATTATTCTATGTACGTATGCTGCAGCGGTGTTCTAGGGAGTAGGAGAAAACGACTGGCTAATGAATTATTTTGAGCTCTGATTTTTATTTATACGTGACAGAGCCTACATCATTTCCAGAACCCAATTAAACTGGAGATTTATAATATTCCCGTCGGTATAAATATATATATTGTATAAGCACCGTGAAGTTTTCTAATCTAATTACAAGCTCTGTATACTTAAACTTTTGTATTTGCAGGTAACGTCGTAACGGCATCGGCTCTTTAAAATCTCGATTAAAAACGCAATAATTTAAAACCAAGCTCCATCAAAAGTAAATAACCAGCTGTAATCTGTATCATGTAATACATGTAACGAAATAATCTATAAATAGGGATACACAACTGTAATCAAATATTGCCTGCGATCATATGCGCCTAACTCAATTCAGTCAACATTTAGTTACGAACAAGAGAAACAAAAAAACAGTTCAATTTATTGTGCAATATATAACATCTATTTGAATATATTTGTATATTATAATATAAGCCTGCATAAAATTAGACTGTAATATTATTGTTGTTATAACTCCAAATTTTAATCCAATTCGAATTCTCAGGGTATGATATGTGTTAAGGGTGTATAATAAAATGTCTATCTTTGCTGCAACGTGTTATTGTTTACACCGTGCAATGTGTTTTCTTGCGCGCAGGGTTGACATGGTCCACATTTTGGACGTTTCGAGAAAAACAGATGGCACCGACGATCGACCCCGCATGTGTCCTCCGATCGAAAAACAACGTGCGATGATTTGCGCTTAAATGCACTTATACGGTGCTATACGTATGTATGGCTATGTGATGTAAACTGTACAGCCTACAGGGACCTATTTATACGCACTGTAATATATTGCTGCCCACAGCCGCCAATGTCAAATCCGCTTTTACTCAAAATTTCAGCTGATAAATGGTTATAGTGTCTGAAAGCCTGCGGTAAAAATATAGTCTGGCTAAAAGTCATCTCAATTTTTTACGGCCGATTTTGCGTCGGTTGCGGTTTAATAAATTCTACACGGCGAAAAATATTATAGTAATTATTAGACCGGCAAATTTTCAAACGTCTGCAGCGAGCGGCAGCAGCAGCAGCAGCAGCAGCAGTATAGTAGTCTACAAGTGGAACGCACATGCAGGATATTTAGAGGGATCCCGCAGGACTCGAGCTATATCATAACAACGTCGCAGTTGTACGCGCAAAAAAAAAAAAAAATGTATAAAATTAAGCGAAATGTGTGAGCGTAAAATCTTACTTGGCGAGCTGGTCGACTGCGGTCTGGTCTGTTATTATATGACGTGTATAATAACTCTGATGCACACACTCTTGTGGAACGCCGGTCGTCAGGCGAATTCGCGGGACTCGACGAAATCCATGGTCGAAAGGCGTATATTATTAGACCGGTGCGATGATATTTTATACGCAGCCCACTATTCCGCAGATATGTGGGTGGGTTATATCGATTGTGTGCTGCAATAATTCGATCTGCCTGCGTAGGCGCGCGTATCGAGACGAAACGGCGAACACGATGTGTCGTACGCGCACCGTTCGATTGATTTTTTTTTTGCAAAAAATTATTGTTGTTTTTTTACGGAAAGAAATCGCGATCGAATGCACACCGGCGCGGAACACACGAGCGATACGGTCGACGGGTGGACTGTGTCTGGCGTGTGGCACACGATGATAATAATAATATATAAACACACTGTGGCGGCGGTGGCGGCGGCGTAAGTACTATTCTTGTGTTGCGCGCCGCCGCGCTGTATTATCCTTTGGCCAGAGTCGGGAAACGCGCCGCTGCCATTGGTCCGCCGCGCCAGGGTAAACGGTCGCCCTCCTCCTCCGCCGCCGCCAGCGACGCAGACGCCGGTCGTGCGTACAAACTGAATAAAAATAATAATAAAATAAGTATAAATATTATATTTACTTTTTACATAAATATGTGATTGGACGCCAAGTCAACGGCGACCGCTTCGGCTGGACATTTCCAATAGGTACATAGTACCTATATTATGTGTTATAGTAAATTTTATTTTAATATGAAATTTCTAATGAGAAAATTTCAAAAATTTCTCTGAATTATTGTAACACGTCCCGTGCATTCGGACTACAATAATTACGGTGTTTATGTATTCGTTATTCTATTATAGAAATATTTTCAGATTTAGTGGAATTCTACAGGTCTATTTACGTTTAGCAGCGTTTACCTTGGGTTTAATTTAATAATTACTGTTTTTCATGTATTCTAAATGGAAATATTTGTCGTCATAATTGTGTAAGCTTCGATAGTGATGAGTATCGTTGTCTACATATTATATAGGTTAGGTTTATCGGTATACTCATTATAATGCTCGATAATAATACTGTATGCATTTTAAAGTGACCAGAGGGTTGAAAGTTGGAATGTTATTAAATATAAGATATCCAGGGAGAGTTGTGGAGACTGTAGTGGTTGTAGATAAAATTACCGACTACCGTAACCAGGGGCAGGTAGATACAATATACATCTTTAATGTGTTTAAACAAATAAAAATGGAACCTCCGTTTCAGCTGTTATTGTTATTTTTTTATCGCCCATCAAATACTTACCAAGTACAAACAATTATACTTATATAAAATATAGGTAAACGAGGTTAGTAGCTGGTAACTGTACCGTAGTCGAACTGTCGAATGGAGTTGAGTAATACATATGAAAGGTGTTGATGTCTATAGTGCAGGTTTGAAAAAAAACAGCTTTTTTAAATTAAACAAAACAAACGTTTTTATTCGTTTAAAACCATGATGTTAGATTTTTTTTAAATAACGGTTTTTTAAATGTTTTAAATTTTATAAGTTTAAAACTTGTTTGAATATTTTATAAAATATTTTGGATTGTAAATTGTTGACGTTGCTTTTTTAAAAAAAATCATTCATTAAAAAAAAATTAAACTTCTCAAAAATGTAAATCAATAATTTTTAATATTTGGTGATCAAAATATTAAATTGAACTATTTTATTCGAATTGCATTACTTGTTGTAAACCTTTTGTCTCAAATACTTTCCTGCCCTGCTATATAATGTGTATAGGTACTAATAGTTATATTATACGCGTGGTTTGTATCGGAGCATTACTGCAGTTAATTTTGTATGAACTTAAAATATGTAATATTATTATAATAATGTAATATTGTATCGGACAGCAGTAAATTGTATTGCATCTGTACCATAATAGATACGTAATGCTTAGAGCTAATGTAATTCATACATAGGTGACATGTAAAATAAAATTAATACGATTGAAGATGTGTTAAAATGTTATAAAAATAATTAACTATTTCGAAATAACAATCAGTGCGTATACTAAAAAAAAATATAAAATTTCACGTTCAGATTGAAATATTCAAAAAAATAATAGTATATGTATATTGTATACCCTACTTACATTTATTTATTCATAGGACACGTTTTCCAAGAAGAAGCTGGTACTCAAAACGTTTTTTTTTTAAATAAGCTGCCACCACTGTGCAAGCTTGCAATTTTTTCGAATCCAATCAAAGAATTTTTTTTCACTCGAGCACACTAAATTTTATCTTGGTATTATATATACCTACCCATACTATGTGCACTTCCGACTCGTCGAACTACTTAATATCCTATTATAATATGTCTGGAACATATTGTCTACATATGAAGGCTACAACACACCTGTGACAAGATTACGTTTTTTCTTAAACTTTGCAATAGTTTTCATATTACATCTATGTATTATACAATATGAGCACATCGAATATCACCGTAATGTTTCAAGAGCAGTATATATATTTATTATAATTTCAGGCCCGTGGTCGTACTGTTTATAATTAATAATTTGGGTAAATAAACGATTTAATTAAATTTTTTATATTAAAAAATAATACAACTTTGCGAAACACACAACGATTACAAATGCTCACAACATCATAAATGGCCCCCACCATAATATTATATATACTGTTATCTCAATTTATACGCAATACGCGCGTTACGAACTTTTTATGGTTATATTATACACTTTGCAGCAGCAGTTGTAGTTATTATTTTCTTTGACCAATAGATGATTTACTCCGATCGAAAAGTCATAAGTCAATAAATAGCAGTCTGCTTATTATAATATAGGTGTGGTATAAATTGTTTATATATAGATAATGATTATATCGTTTTAATATATTATACAAACAGATACTAAATATATAATGTACCTAATATAAAATTCAACTGATTCGTTTCCCCGACATTGTGTAAACGGTTATAATTGCCTGAAATGAATGAACTTTTAATTATCAGTGAATATAATAATACGATTTAGTAAATATTTTACACGGTCATCAATCAATTTAATTATGGTTCATATATGTACTATATACTATAGTAGTAAATAGTTAATACGCTTGCAATACATGAACATAGAAAACTCATATTAAATTGCACCCGTTATAATAAAGTAGGTAACATAATGTTATAAGATTTGTGTGTTTATTCTATTATCAGCTAAAATTATGTTGTTGTTTTTTTTGAAGTCAAACATTTTCGTTTTTAATATTTTATGTTGTCATAACAGCCGTTATAAGAACCCATGATATTATACAACAAAGAACAAATAGTATTATATTAAATTTATTACATTAAATTAAAAACTGAGAAGTTTGCATTAGAGTTTTTAAAACCCTATACCTACTTGGATTACCGCAGATTATTAAGTACACATAAAATAAAATAGTTTAAAAATACTTGAAAAATCATAAAGTTCGAAATTGAATGGCATAAAATATGAAATTCTCATTTCTCATAATATTATAAAGTTGGAATCAGGAGACGCTATTTGGGAGTATTAACGGCGCACTCGGTCAACTGGCCGTATAAATAGAACTTGACTTCTGTACTATCTAACACCAGTGGATCAGATATTATTTTTAAGTTCACGCGAAACATAAAAAAAAATATATGCATAATAATTAAATATATTTCAACTCAAAGATATAAATATATTTTAATTAACCGTGAAAGTACAAGGCATTAATATCGGAGTATATATACGTATGCTTTTAATCTACCAAATAAATTAAAAATGTGTCAAATATTTATAGGACAAATCATTATTCATGTAGTATTGCCGGTAGTTTATGTGCATTAATTATTACCAAAGTGTATAATATATAGGCCCCATTAATTTGTACATACATATATTATATTTGTTCATTTTAATATATAGTACATACCTATGATATTATAATCTAGATTGAATTATAATTAGTTTGTTATAAAACGTCAGTTTTCATTTTTTATTCAACTCGTTCAAATTTGAAATTATCCAAGTAGACGTTTTATAATTTGTTTCCAGGTATATATTCTTCCAATATTATACATACAAACGTAATAATATTAACTAATAAAAAATTTAACTAATTATATAACCTCGTGTAAGATATAGCCACATATATATATATAATACATATATATATATATATAGGAGCGAGTTGGAAAATTCATAGGCACTCGTCAAGTCTCAATCTGCTTGTAAATATTCGGATACCTATACTTGAATTGTTTTTTATGTTTTTGCTTCAATTTTTATTCATTTTTAAGCACTGCGGATGCTGCAGGGACGAGTTGGAAACTTCATAACAAGGCTGCACTCGTCACGTTCCCACTCCCCTTGTAAAATCAATACACTATTTCATTCGAGATCCAAAACGACATTCTAAATAAATATAGAATAATATATAATATAATAAATAGTAAATGTCTGCATTTGTACCACGAAACAAATAGAGGTAGGTTTCGATAAAACTTTAGTCTGAGTCATTTTTTTGATATCGTGTTTCAATTAGTTTCAGACGTTTAACAGCATAAGGAAATATATTTGAAAATGTGAAATTTAGTGTTAAAATTACAAAAACCATCGAAAAAATGACATATATAGGCCTACGATGAACTATGTATATAATATGGTGCCATAGCTAGTGGTGTAAATCGTACAATTACTCAAAGTCGCCTAGAGCGCAGTTGCTATCAACCGCGACTTGGAATAATAAACACAAACTCGTAAATAACTGGTTTTATGTCCATTTGTTTATTATAAATAAAACATATGTTCTAGTTTTATGCACTCAAAAGTGTCGTTATAACGTAGACAATTTTAAAAAATTATCTATATTGAGTAACCACCTAATGATTTATTTTACTTTAATAGCTTTTTTCTCTCTTTTTTATTATTGGACATTGGAACTTAGAGCGGACAGCATTTTTTATGATATTTTAAATTATCAACGCAACCACTAATTCCGTTTGTATGCAACAATAAATTATTTATTTTTATGTTATGATTTCACTAATAAGGTGATTTATATTTAAATTTATTACCTACTTACGACTATTATTATTAATTCAAATTAATTTTAAAATATCGGCATAATAAAAACACGAAATGTAAATTAAATTAAGCCATATCTTACACGTATTTGTTGTATACGTTATGGTAATTTAAATTTAATGTACCCATTACCTTTATACCCACCTATACCATATAATAATCCAACTGCAGCTAACTCGTACGAGTTTGTTTACACGCATTTAAAATTTTAGCTGACCAGCACGGACGAAGTTTAGTTATAATGTATTATGTAATATGCGTACATCGGTTATTCGTTATATTTTCCTAAAGGTAAAAAACAGTTTCGTGGAGATGTATTCTAGGAACACGACGTCGTGATAT